TGAGGTGTTCCTTCACACGGTCAACACTGATGAAGGGTAAAAATTCTCCCTCACCCTGGCTGTCCCATACCATATTGAGCAAAGTCGTTCCTTAGGGCTGGTGAAAAACTGACACAAAATACCCACTAAGCAGGTTGGCTTTTTCATGGGTGTTGGTTGTCAGTTGGTTTAACAAGGGTCAAATGTTACTCTTGCTTTTCCTTCGGCTGGTTCACAAAGCACTTGCAGCACGAAGGGCTAATGATACTGGTTCTACTCCTTGCTGCCAGCTAAGAGAAAAAGAATAGATGAGGAGAGACAAAAGGGAAAGCAAAAGTGAACGGGAAAGCAGATAGCTTTACTCAAAAAATGCTAAAATATTTATTTCATTTTTTTAAAAAGCAAGAGAAACAGCTTAAATAGAGTGATATCACTTTCTGGAACAGCAATGGCTGGAATTGCCAGAGGGGTATGATGTGTATGCAAATGAAGGGAGGGAGGAGATGTGACTATGCAGAAGTTTGAGATCCTCCATTCTCTGCTTTATTTGATAATTGCAAACTGATGAAAACTCAGTGTGAACTTCCTTCCTTCCTTCCTCATCAATTGTTAACATTAAAGCCTGTTCAGTCAGCATCTAAGCTGGCCCATCTCCTCAGCTAGCAGCAAGGAATATTCAGTATCACTCACTGGGAGAGATGGAAAAGTGGCCAGGGTTGTCCTCCCCAAACATGAGGCTGGCTATACAGCAGCACTATCCCACAGCATAGCTTAGAGCAGCTTATTCAGATCTTCTTGTCATGTGTCAATCTGCTCCATGTCTCCATGCAGAATTTGAACTAGATTTTCAGCAGAAGAAAATCAACATAGCTCCAGCAACTTCAATGGAAAGGATTGACATCATCTAAGAATGTAGCCCTGAACCACTAAATCCTCCTGGTTTAATCTTCCCAGTATCTCTGAAACCTTCCATTTCCTCTTCTCATCACAAAAAAATCTTTGTTATTCTAATCCTCACCCTGGATCACTGTCATGTCATTCTCTACCAGCTGAAACCCATATCAAACAATTGGCTCAGTATTCCACAGCAAAAATCACACACTTTCCCTGCAACTCAAACTCCATTTAGATTCTTCCTATGCCTAATACCAAAATAGGAGGTCCTAATATGCCTGCTACATAAGGCCCTGAACATTTACCACAACATTCCTGATACTCTGCTATCTATTTCCTTTCAGGATGCCTTTACTCAACATTGCTCATAAGGAGATCCTTCTGTGTCCCTCTTTTCATTTCAGCTATATGCGTAATGTTTCCCTCTGTCTTGGCTTACATCCCTTGCCAAACTCTTTCTCCCAGGGTAGCTCCTCTGCCCTAAAGGTAAGCACTTGGACTAGGGATTACACATAAACTGGTTTAATTGATCAGAAACTGGTTTAAACCTGTAACAGAACAGAAGCTCAGTGCACATAAATCAGTTTCAGAATGGCTGAAAATGATGTAAGATAAAGCTGGTTGAAACTTAACAGTCAAACTTAACTGATTTGGGTCAAACCAGTTTATGAAACTTCTGTCCCAACCTGGTTCAAGTTAAATCACAGTCCCCAGCATCCCAGCATGCTTTCCAGCCCTCCATTGGGCTGGCCTAGGATGTCTGCTCCAGAGAGCAGGGCTAGCCCCGCCCCTCTGCTCCCTAGCCAGAGCAGTGAGGGCTGGCTGGCAAGAGCGGGGAGAGGCAAGTCTGACTGCGGATGCAGCCCAAGCTATGTGGGATATGAAATGCCCACCCCCCCGGGAAACCCCGGCTGGGTTCTGAGGCCAGGGAGGGGAGTTAAACACCCCTTCCCCTCCTCAAACTTACTGCTGGTTGCAACTGTGGACTACAAATCCCAGAGCCAGCCGGGAGAAGTAAGAGGAAATGATGAGCAGCCCTGCAGAGTCCTGCTACTGTGAGTCTGGACTACACATCCCAGAAGCCTTGGGGGTAGCAGGAAGAGGAAGTGAACACACAGCCAGAGAGCTGTGCTCTAGCACCCCCTGGCTTCTGGCCTGAGCCACTGCAGGAATGTGGCTGCATTTCCTGAATCAAAAGTAAATGTGTGTCTACTTGTTTCTCAGTTTAATCTGTGCAGCTTAAACTAACTTGCAAAGACTAAATCGATTCAGTCTTAGGCTTTTTGACTGTCTGTACCTAGCCTTGAAGCTCAAAAAGGTGTGTATAATCATATTGTCTTCACCCTCATTACCAGTCCCTCTCCCAGTCCTTCCATTGCACCACACTGTCATCCTTTCACGTTGTTCTTTTCTTAATTTATATTGTAAATTCTGGGGCAACGAGACATCATTATCTGTTCTGAACATTATCTGTTCTGGGGCAATGAGACATCATTATCTAAACATGTCTGTAGTGGAATAGAGGTAAATTAACAAGAGAAAATCTAATAATCATTTTCTCTAGAAGACGTGTGCAATGTTAAAACTCGTTGCTAATTGTGGCAAGCAAATGCCATCATTCAGCACATGCCCCTGGTAGTGCCAGAGACAAGGGCATCCGCCAACCAGTCTGGAGCTTTTCTCAGAGGTGAGTTCTAGGGTGCAGAAAAACTTCACTGTCCACAAAGGGAAATAGAAAACCTGCAGCTGGTTAGGCAAAGCTCCTCTCTTTTCAACCACAACAGCTCAATAGGAGGGTAGATTTTGTGGATGGCTCTAACAGTGGCAGGAGGGGATAGCAAAGGTCAAAGTGGGGGGGGTCTTATTTCTTGTGCAGTCCGGAGCAGGTAGGACACAGCTGCCAGCATAAAAACCACACCTACTGTGCAACACTCTCATCCAAGGCAGTTACAATAAATATGACTGAACAGCCTCAACTCAGCAGCATATTTCAAACTGCAGTACTTGTGTCACCCACATCTTTCACCTACACAGGATGCCCCAGTCTTTCACCTACACAGGAACAATTTGATAGGACAAAGACATGTCTCTAGCATTATGAAGATCATACGTCTATAATGGCTTACCAGTGCCAAAGATGAAAGGTGCAAGGAAAGACATGGGAATAGGAAAAGAGAGAAAAGTTCACAAGATCTTCTGGTACATTAATCATTTTAAATTATCCTTCTGCCCTAGTATATAAGTATATAAGGAGTAGGGTGCCTTTTACAGGTTGGGACATAAACATATAGATACATATAGATATAGATCTACTATATATAGATACATACAGAGATCTATCTATCTATATCTCACTATTCACTGCTAATGGCAAAAATGCCAATGCTTCTAATACAAATCAATCCTACACTGTATAAAGTGTATAAAACCCATCCACACCTATAAAGACACAGCATAGTTTAGTTGCTAAGACACTGTAGTGTAAATCAAGAGACCTGGGTTCTGTTTCCAGCTCTATAACTGCCCTGCCACATGACTTTGGACAAATCACCCTTTGTTTGCTCCATCTGTTTAGATTTAACTCACTTGTACAGTACCCATCTCTGTATCTACACACAGTACAACAGGGCCCAGTTTCAGTTGGATCTTCTAGGCACTTTCATAATACAAATAATAATATTACTAGATTTAATAGTATAGATGAAACTGTGTTAATCTTGCAGGCAAAGAATTGGATTTTGCATTTACTGTTTTTGAAAAACATCTATGGACAAAAAATAAGAATTACGTTGAAGTACTTCAACTAATGAAAACACTGCCTGTAATAACTTAGTATTGCCACACTGCTCAATCAAGTCATCTTCTTGGTTTTATCATCAGAAACAAGGAAGAAAAATGTCTAATCCATGTAAAACTGCAGAACGAAAAATCATTCACAGGGCTCATCTATGCAAGATGCTTAATGTCCATTTGGACTCATTCTACTGTGCATTAGCACAGCTAGCAAAAATCATGCTAATTTTTTTGCACAGTGGCTTAGTCCAATGAACATTGAGCATCACAAAAAAAGTGTATGTTTGCCCTTATGTGAAGTAGCGCTGATTATGGCGCATTAAGTTAGTACCTGTTATTAACAACAGGTACTAAACTTAATGTGCTGTAATTATAGTGCATTAATGAATGTGTAGATGCGCCCACAGACTGGATTATGTTACCTATGGTCTAAGCCAAGACTATGGATTCTTATCCCGTTTAGCTTTTATAACCGCTCAATGGGTTAACTATTTTTTTCTCTCTCCTATCTTTCCTTTCCCCGTTTTCTTTCTCTCACCTTGTTTCTCTCAGCAGCATCCCTTCCTTTTTCTTCCTCACTTTTCTACCCTTTGTATTCTAATCACTGCTTTCTATTCAGAAGCTCTGCTTCCTAGAGTCCCTTCACAGCATCTGATGGAGTAAGCCCTTTGCTGACAAAAGCTTATGTTATACATCTCTGATCTGGTTAGTCTATAACAGGGGCAGGCAACCTGTGCCACAGAAGCCACAAGTGGCATGGACAGCTTCTGTGTGTGGCAGGTGGCAGATCAGGACAGGGACAGGCAGCACAGCAGCAGATAAGGCAGGAAGCAAAAGTAGAGCAGGAGATCAGGTAGGAAACAGAAAGCAGAGCACTAGATTGGGCAGGGGAAGAGGATCAGTGGCACTTGGGGAAGATGTAGGGCTTATCTATGACATGCCTGCCAAAAAGGTTGTCACGTACTGGTCAAAAAAATGCAAATGTACCCTGTCTTCTACCTAACCGGACTAAAATAGCTAACTACCTCTCTCTAATCCATGTGAAATACAGAAACAGCTTTTTCTGGCAAGTTTTCTGGTCTGGCTTCGAGTAGCTGTATAGAAATGATGTGAAACTTTTTTGTATGTGAACAGGCCACCACCAAAACAACAAATATCATGATTGCAAGTCACATGCTATCAAAACGAGACACTGTTGTGAATACCAAGCTGCTGAACAGTGACCAACACATCTCTTCATTGAATTCAGCTATGTGTATAGAAGTGAGTTGTCAACAAAAAAATCTTGCTTTTTCATTTCATTTTCATTGATTTTAATATTACCTGAATAAGTAGCAATTGGAATTTTAACATAATCTCTGGTTTGGGAAGGGTGATGAAGGTAAGATAAAGCTAAGTGATGATGGTGAAATCCATTGTTTGACTGTAAGAAGCAGAACAGGTTGGCACACCTTCAAGACAAACTTGTTCAGAAATGCATTAACTTTCCTAGGCCACAGGCTGTCACTTACAAAAGCTTATGCATTTCTGAATAAACTAGTTTTTAAAGCAGTGATTCTCAGCCAGGATCCTGGAACGCTCTTGGGGTGCCAAGCAACATTAGTGCTGTCAGGTGTGCAAACACGATTCACAAGATAAACCCAGAGTTGTCAAATATAAATTCATAGTGTCAAAATCTTTCTGACCTGTTGTGGTCTTTCTGAGATTGTTGCAATAGAATTGATCCATTAGGTTTCCAGTAAAAAAAAAAAAAGAGAAAACAAAAGAGCTGGCATTTTCTGAGGGGTGGCTTGAGTCTAACAAAGGGTACCTTAAGTCTAAGATGGTTGAGAACCAGTGCTTTAAGATGCCATTCTGTCCTGCCTTTCCTGACTTCCCACTAACCTAGCTAACCAATTTCCTTGCCTTACTAGAAACCAACGTGCATAGATCCATTGATATCCAAACAGAGCAGCTACTAAAACATGTCTGTGTTTAACCGCCTTACAGCAGCATATTCTGAGACAAACCTAGGCCATGGAGTCAAATCAGAGTGTGGTTGCAGATAGGCCTGAAATTTAAAATTAAAAAAAAAACCCAGGGGATAATATTGCATGTGACTAGAAAAATATGTATTGATTTTTGAGAAAAAAAAACACCCAAAACCCCATGGACTTGGCAAGGTTCTTCAGGGGAATCATTCACATGGGGCGAGAGGGCAAGATGATAATGATAGAAGGGGAAGAGCAAGAAACACTCCTCTCCACAAGAAGCCCAGGCAGGGCTACAGCCTCTGAATCAGAACCTAATCCTTAACTGCTGGAGGCTGTAAGTGAGAGAGGAAGAGGGAAAAAAACCCTGGTCATACCCAGTTAACTCTTCCTTTCAACATCCTATCTCTGCTACTTTGTGACGCAGGCCTTTGGAGGTGCCTTTCCAGAATGTGGGCCAAAGCCCACCAACTAGAGCTATAAGACCCCCTGGATGATGGGAGCCACTTGGAGCACATCACTGATCACTTGAGACAACAAAAAGACAAAACAGGAACAGGAGTGAAGGTCATAGTGAAACTCTGCCCAGAAACATGAATGGACTTCCAACTGTGTGACACAGGCCTTTTGATCCGCCATTCTATGATGTGAGCTAAAGCCACCAACAGTGGCGACATATGGGGGTGGAAGTGGCCGTGGGACTTCCGGAAGTGGCACAGTTGCTTTCATGGTGAGTAAGATTGGCCGTGGGGGACGCCCCCAGTCAGTGGGATCGGCCGCGGAGAGACCTCCCCCTCCCACCCGGTCACTGACTAGTGTCAGGGGGGCACATGCCCCCCCTGACTCAAGAGGCACCAGACACCTATGCCCACCAAGTAGAGCTATAAGCTGCCAATGGTGATAGGAGCCACTAAAGGCATATCAGTGATTACTTGGGACAACAGAAAAATAAAACAGGGATGGGAGTGAGGGTCTTAGGTTCAAAATGAGTACACCAAGAGGAGACACCGTGCAAAGCACACAGGACAGTACCCACTGGCCCTCAAATGAGTCCAAGGAGCCAGCAGACACTGCCCAGTGAAATCCTGCCTGGAGATGTGAATGGACGAGGGATGAGGAAAAGGCTTCACTGTGCAGCATATACCTATTTGTTTCTTTAAGGAATGATGGGCCAATATCCACCAAGAAAAACTATAAGCTTCCCTTAAAAAGGGAACTTATTTCTTGGAACAAAGGAAAAAACAAAAAAAGAACAAAAAACAAAACAGGGAAGGGAGCAAGGGTCACAGATTTAAAACAAATGCACTAAGAGGGGGGCCCACCAAACAGCACGCACTGCCCCTCAAACACATCCAGGGAGCTAGCAGACACTGCCCAGCGAAACCCTGCCCAGAGTCAGGAAGGGCCGAGGGCCAGGAAAACAGCCCCGCTTGGCAGCACGGGCCTATTTGTTGCCAATGCCCACTACGAAATGTATAAGCCTCCCACTGGGCTGGCAACACCCGCTTCCCTGGGACCGAGTGAAACACACCAGGGAGGGGAGTGAAGAAACAGGTTTCAAACCAGTGCGCCCAGGAAATCCTTGAAACATGCCATAGCTTTAAAATGACCAACGCCAGACAGCGCCCGTGGGCCCTCCAACAGCCTGGCGGACAGAGGGCTGACTGTGCCACGGAGACCGGGGCAAGAGGGGCTCTGCACCAGCCCAAGGCAGCAGGTGGCACGCTGTCAAGGCTGGCATCCAGCCCGGCTCTGGGCCAGCCTCACCCAGCCAGGCGCCCGCTCCCTAGCCCAGCTATGACCC